AAGGAAATGAAGTACATAGCTACTTCCAAGACGTATTTCAGCCTTCATCATTATTAATCACGTTAGTCATGATTCCCATAGTATTCGCACTTTCCCCCAGAATGGTCACACCTGGAACAGTCTTTCACTTTGAGGACAATAGTGACTTGAGTCCAGCATGGCATCCAAAACAGAGTCAGCTTCTTCAGTCAAATGATTGCAACATGGGGCCTTCTGGTATGTTAAATATTCTGGTTAATTGAGAGCGGCTCTGTAAGTAACTAGAAGATATTATTCAAATCTAAAACCTTTAACCCATGCGAACACTGTTGGACTTCTCTTTGCTGACTCGAAAAGCACTGATGACCCAGATCATACGGTATTTTGTACTTTATCATCAGGCATCATCATAAAGGACTGCAGATCATATTTTCATTATTTGAGGTGTGTGAGTACTTGAGATTTTGTATGAATGGCGCTTTGTCAGACTCATTCCATCTTACTCTGAAAATTAGGAATGCAATAATATAAACCAAAACTGCTCCCAGTCTTTAAAACTAGAAAAAAATCGGGGACCTTAGATTCTGTATCTTTCCTCCAGGAGCCTTGGTTTGTGCCTTTCTGAAGTCAAAACACATCCTGGAAGGTTTGCGTTAGAAAAAGAGGAGTAGAAATACAGCTTTCACCTCCTCAGCCCGTGCTTTTGGAGGTGGTAGGGACTGTCAAATGGAAAGGAAGATGAACAATTAAAGCACCAACTGTAATAAACATGCCGATTCTGAACTAAAGAAGTCTCGATCGAAAGACAGAGATGTTCTAGCCAGTTGGTTTGCTTAAAAGAGGAGCTTCAATCGCAAATGTCCTTTATGCTGAATGATATGAAAAACTTACTCCTTGCTATTTGTCCGCCCAGCCCAAAGTAGCTGGTTCTTTCTGTTCCACCTCTGCCCATGCCCTCCCCCCATCCCATTAAAAGATCACTGGGCTTTACAAAGAATTGTGCGCACCAGGTGTTACTGCGGGATAGACCAGCAGCCTATTGGTTAATGACTCCTTTTCAGCCTCAGCGGGGCTGTCTGCCTGTCAGTGCAGGCCAGCTTCCAGCCTTGCCAGAGTTTGCTTGAACAGAAAGGTCACACGGTAGGGCAGCGACCTGCTTGGGTCAGCCCAGTGGCTAGGGTCTCCTGTGCCCCTCCCACCTTCACCCTTCGCCCTTGAGTCTAGCTGAGCCCAGAGGGTCTTGCAGAACTTCCCTCCCAGCCGCTCAGGAAATGCCCGTGGGGGGACTTCTGCTATCCTCGGGGCGGGGGGGGGG